TCGGCTCCAGTTTTCTGTTCACCACGCTGTCCAGTATGGACTCCGAGCGAATGTGCACGCGGACACCGAAGCTCAAGGACGGCCAGCTTTGGATGCTCGGTGATGCAGATGGCGAAAACGCGAGCTACAAGGATGGCTACCAAGTGGAGGTGCGATTCAAGCGCAAGGTCAATCCCAATGTCAGCATGTCTCGGACCACCTGGAACCTCATCAATCACTTCCCCATGTCGCCGAACAAAAAGTTCAGCGCCTTTATGGGGATCAAGTTCCGCGAGGCCACGCTCTAGTGAGTTTATCATCAGATGGTGTGAATATTCATGATAATGTTTTATTTTTCAGTGCCGAAAGGGAGGACTCAATGGTGTTCCACATGCCGTTGGGCACCACCACATTCTCGGAAATATTTTTTACACTGCGCAAAGATGCCTTCGAAATGAACATCGAGGACTATTTCATAACGCGCAATATGCGCACAGGCACCCAGATCTATGGCATTGAATATTTTCTCGAAAACCAATGAATAATTTAGTCATCGGAAGTAACTGTTTAGCTTATCTGTTTTAACTGTTTAGTTTCCTTTTTCTACACTTTCTTAGTATTGTGTTTAAATATATTAAGAGTCTTTTGAGTTATCAAAATAGTTCCTACTCCTTTATATTCCCCCTCTTAAATTCTAAAACCAGAGCTTACATTAATTTGTAAACTCTCCTATGTATCGAAGAGACTAATTTAAATGCTTTGGTAAGCCGGTCTAAGTACATCGAAATTAACATACGTAGTACTATAATCAAAAAATTAGATTAAGTCGGTCGGAATAGTTTTCACTTTTACCCCGGCATTCTCTTGAATTAATTGGCTTTCTAAAAGTTTTAGTATGCACAAACTTTTAAAATCGTCGGACTTTTCTGTGGTGATTTTTAATATTGCGACTTATATATAGTTGTCTTCTTGTGCATACTTGTGCTTATTGTCACTACGTGAACGGTCGTATACAGTGATAAGGATAAATATGTAAAAAGATAGGATTTCTTAAGCATTCCGAATGCAGAGTCGTCTATAGCATTACTGGAAATACCACTGTATAGGTAGACAGCTGGAAACAAAATGATCAAATTATTGAAATAAAATTGGCCAAGTTTTTATCGTTTAGTATATTGCACTGTGTTTTGTACATTGTACAGTATATTGAATTCTTTTTGTAGAAGAACACTATATTATAACCAAACAAAAAAACCTCCTAACGAGGTAAAAGGTAAAAAAAATTTTAACCACTCAGGTTCGGAGTAATTCAACTGCGCATTGGTTTAGAGCCCTACTGTTAACTACCTTTTAAACTTGACTCCTATCTTAATTCTCTTGCGATGAAAACTTCCCTCGCTCGTACGCTCTTCATTAACTGCTATGACCGCTGACCACATGTCGTATTAGTAATAATAATTTACACACAATCAATAGTCAATTTTGGATGCGAGTGCTGCGTGTATGTCTGTGTGTTTTGATTGGCGGTTGTTTAGGGCCCTGCTTACCACTACCACCCCCGAATGGAAAATTGATTTGTTGGTCTCTTTGCTGTCGCCACTCAAAGCCCCCTGGGAGGCGGAAATGCCACGCAATTTGTTTGTTCGCACTCAAGCCGCAAACATTGTGAAATTAACTTGTTAGCCATGCACCAGGGTGGGCGAAACCGGAAAAGGAAAGGGAAAGGGAAAGGGAAGGGGACGAGGTCGAGCAGCGGGCGTGGTTGCCCTGGTAATTGACATTCGATTGGTAATGGGCGGTCTGAAAATAACAGTAATTGGTTTGCATTCTCCTAAATCATCAGTCGAGAAAAGCCAACAACAAGTGTAAATCAAATGTCGATTATTGTATTGCGGTTAATCGATATCAATGTATTGCTCTAAATTGATTAGGAACTCTTATTTATGTTTTATCATATTGTCATTTGTTTGAAGTGTTGGGAAATGTACTAGTTTTTTTGGATCTAGGTTTTTTGGTACAAAAAAGGTAAAAGGTACACAATTTGAGTAGTATTAAGGTAATATAATTATACAACAAAGGTTAAAAAAAACTATTTTTTTAATGGTTTGCGAGTTTAATTTTCACGAAGTTATAGTTTAATTATGAAATTGTGTATACGCTCTGCCAAAAAATATATATATATATATTAATATATATATATATAATATAATTATAATAATAATATAATATATATATATTATATATAATATATATATATATATTACATTACACATTAGCAAGGCAAAAATAAACAAAAGTTTCAAATTTGTACTTTCTGTAAAAAAAAGACTATCCTTTGAAAAGTAACTCATTTAATTTCTTTTAGTCGACTACATTACAAACTTTTAAAATTGCTCTGTGTTTATAAATTGTTAAGTGAAGAAATTTAAAGTTTTACCGGTTAGTAGTTCGGTGGTTATCACGATTCCATAAAAAATGTATGATCAATATGGCTATGAAGACAAACTTCTTATGAACGGAGATTCGGCTGATGAGACACTAGGTAGTAGAACACTTCCTTCGCTCAAAAGTCCAGTGAACATTGAGAAACCCGGTGTATCCCTGACGTCCAGTTCAGAAAGCCATTGTCGTTCGGCTACCCAAATCCCAAGTTGGCTCAGGATTCAGCCCAATCAATCAACAGCTCCTGCTTGTCTGAGGACAAGTCGCCATCGGTGGATGAATCCCCATGAATTGAGCAAGTCGTTCCGTCCGAAGATGCAATCTAAGGCGATCCCTCCTTGGCAGATCAGTACGGCAGCCTTCATCGGTTATCGTTACCGAATTCCACGATAGTTTTTGATTAGAGTGAATAAAATTGTGCCAGTTAAAGTCAAGGTTTGCGTGGGTTGATACGGCCTGGATCGGATCTGCGGCGGAAACACTTTCAGATTCCTATTTCCGGCCCGATTCTTTACCCTTTTGCAGCTCTTACTGTAGCGACACTAAGTGGCATCCAATCTGTAGCAAAAACACAGGAAACCAATCCTCCGCCTTTCTGGTGTCCGCTTGCGTTTGAAGCTTAAGTGGCACATAATCAGTGCTCATGCAGTGAGAAAACTGATAATTTATTTAAAATCTAACCTTAGAAAATAAGAATCCATATTATGTAATTACATGAACTATTTTAATCTGATTTTATTTTGCAAAATGTGCAATTTGTGGAAACAGGAGAAGATTTCTTAGGTTCATAATTTATGATAGGAAACTGTTTATAAATTTAGTTCATTAATCTGTGGCTAAATTTAGCTAAAATTAAATAAAAATTTTAATTTTTAGACAAAAACAATTAATTTGTAAAGTTAACCGTAAGTTTTGAACCAATATACTTCAACAGCTTTAAGCTGATTTCGAAAATGAAACGAAAACTTGTAGTATTTGGGCAAATACTACTGCACAAATTTTGGCGTTCCCTTTTTTCGGGAGTGTAAAAAATAGTGGTGCACAAAGTGTAACAAGCCACGACATCCTGCTCCCTTGGCTGCTCATGGCTGGCAGCAGCTTCATTTGCAACATCAATCGCAACCTCATCAAGTTGTCTGCTGGCAGCCGCACTCATTACGGCGATGGCAGCAGAAGCGACTGCGTTTAATAAAGCGTTCGTCAGCCGACTTGGGATGGGAAAGGGTTTTCGGCGATGAAGGGAGTGGATGGATGGCGTTAGTCTGGGCTCCAGGGCCACTGGGTTTAATTAGCTTTAATGGTTTAATGCGGGCCATCGCCGTTTGGGCCAGGACCAGGGCGAGGTCCTGGTCATAACGGACAGGAGGTGACACAAGCCACAAGCCACAGGTCACAGGCCATCCCGTTGCTAAGCTGTTTCCGATTTGCCACCTTCTACGGGACTCTCAGTAAAGAGCCACCCAGGGAGTGCCACTCGAGTATTAATGGATGCCACCCGCCTCGTGACACTTTAAAGCAATTTTCCTGCCAAACAAATTTCCGGTGAAGCGCACAAAAGTTCCCTGGCTCCACTATTTATTTGCCCCCAATTGCAAGGAGACCCATTCACACGTAGCACACAACTCCTTTTTCTCGTCCTGGAAAGAAACTTTGGCTCATAACTTCGCCCTGAAGAAGATGCATATGCAACACGTTCGTGCCATTCCCAGCAGCAATGACTCAGGCACACCGTTTCGAGACCCAGTTTTCAGTTTCACCTGCTCCGCTGATAGTCAAATGGTAGGAATAAAGCTAGACACGAGTTGGGAGAGTGCCACTAGCAGGTTCCTTAAAAGAATTAAAAGGAGTTTTCCAGACTCTTCCGTTATTTAAAATTTGTTTTAAAACAATATCTATATGCCGTTTATTATCTGCTGTTATTATTATTATTAAAAATCTTATTAATTGATAAACTAAATTTAATATTAAAATCTTTAAATTTCTTTTTATCATATTCAGGTATACTTAAATTTAAATTAAACAAAGTATTATCACACTAAATATTTTTATTTTTTTAATCATAAAAATGTTTAAATTTCCTTTTACCATATTAAGGTATATTTAAATCTATACTAAACAAAGTATTAATCCCACCAAATATTTTTATTTTAATATGTTTTTTGCTGTCATTGATAAAATTGTAGGGTATTGAAGACACTTAACCTTTTCTTTCTTTCTCGGTTCCCGGTGATTTACTTTTTCTTAGCGTTCGACTTTTGCAGCCAGCACGAAATGCTGTCGAGCATTCAAAGAAAACTAGTGCATGGTGGAAGATTGAGCTGGATGTGGAAGGATAAGGATGCGGACGCGGATGACTAAGGAACGCAAAGTTAATTGAAAAGTATTGTTTGCTATATTGTGTCCTGCCATTCTGTTGACACTTCTCGTACAAAGTAGAGCAGGATGTTGCAGCTACTTCATTATAAATTCATTTTTAAAACACTTACCTCACACTCTTAACAGAATCCTTGTCCAGGGAACTTGAGTTGATAATGTATCGCCCAATGAGTGAGTAACAATCGTAATTTTTATTTTGGAGATAGATTTATAAAACTAGCATTTATTTCTTTCTTATTATGGCTCAGAATCTTATTGACTGGTTTACAGGCTACATTTATACGTACAAATTAGCTTTCTACTAAAAGTTAAATAGGTCTTTCATTCTTATTGCCCATTACTAAACCGCTAGCTTTATAGGGTTTTTTAAAACCTAAGTAAGTCAATTCAAGCTTTATGATATGTGTTGCAAGTCGATGAGGTGTGATCAACAACTAAAACAAGCCCAATGGCTTAAAAAGAATAGCCTTTTTTTGCTTAGCAAATTAGAACGTATAATATGTAAGTATTCACCGACTTTTAACGCTGCCTTTACAACCTACTGGTAGCGATGACGATATATTAAAATGAGTCCTGAAGCTATATTTGTGGCCATCCCTGTTTTTATCTATCCTGCTATCACGAACGAACTTATCTACAACTAATTAACAATACATTTATCATTTTTATTAACACTACATATAATGAGAACCTAGAACAGAGAGGCAGAACCCCGCAAATCGTAAAAATAAATATCAATATTATGTGCAGTACAAAAACGACTGATAACTAAAGCACGAAAATTAAATGGGATACACTACAAAAGATTCGAGAACGGGTTTGTTATAGAAATATAATACATTTAGCTTTATAAATCTATGAGTATTATTCGGGCTCTTCTCCGGATGTTGGATCCTGGGACTCAGCTCAGGATGGCAGAGTGCGACTTCTCCCTTCCATTCTTGCTGATCAGTGCATTGCGTCCTAAAAGTTCAAAATTGTTATTAACAATATGTGAATAATTATAGTTTTCATATCGCACCTTCATTTTCCGTTGTACCTGCCACGCCCATTAGTTTTAGATTGAGGAGCAGGGCGCCCAGGTTGGAGCGGTCGTCCAAATATTTACTTTCTAATCGGACCATGCCAATCTTCTTTGACTTTGTTTGTGTGTGCCAGACAAGAATCTCAGTGCAGTTGTTACCACGCGGTTCGATCTGATCCATTTTCAGACCGATGCTGCGCAGAAAGAGATCCTCCTCATAGCCGGGCTTGTACGGCATATTTACATAGGGATACTGCGCCATATACTCCAGGCTCACGGCGAACCCGGCCATGTCAACGGGCCAGCGTCGACCTGCCACCCAGGAGTCGAGAAAGGCCACAACTTTGCCCTGAAAAAGATACAAAATATTAGTTTCAATTTCGAAAGAAAAAATTCAGTTCCATATCAACCGAAGTAATCAAAGACACTTAATATGCATAAACAAATCTATAGGTTTTCATTTTTATTCGTATCTGCATTATTTTTCAATAATATCCATTTTTGTGGTACTTGAATATTGAATATATTGAATATTTTGTACAGAAAACTAATTTTTATTTAATTTTTTTTAAGAAATAGTAACAAGTTTCTTTAAATTTTGTAAGATTAATTATATATTACAACATGAGCTTTGAAAAATATAAATCTGTTGAACTAGTCACGTTCTTTTTTATATGACCTTTTGAAATTTGCGACCAAAATTACTTGAAAACTACTAAACCGATTTTATTTTAATTTTGCAGATATATTCAATACATAAAAATTGTGTATTTGGTTATTCGATTTTAAGTTGTCTATCTCGGATTGCAAAAACTGATTTGATATTTATTCGAGAACTCACTTTTCGCACTACTGGCCCGCTGACTCCGTAATCGGCAATCAGACCGACGGGAAACATGGAAACCCTTTGCGTTTTCCGTATTTCTGTGAATAGTCGAAGGTCGTATGTGTTATCGTCATCCCCGAAGTATAGTATTCCGTTGGTGAGATTGTGCTGCCGCAGCCACTGCAAAGCGGCCCTGCGATTTGCCACGCCTCGTGGGGCGGGTTTTTCATTCCGGAACTTGCTTGGCATCGGGCTCACCATGTGAGTATACGGAATACCTATAATTTACACATCAGTTAGTTATTAATTCTCACATTTAAAATAATTAAATAGTTACCAAATCGGTTGAGCAGGGTGTCCATATACCCGTTGCATTTCTCCTGATCATCGGCCACCAGCCAGTGCAGTCGCGGCACATGGAGCAACGTGTGCGCCAGACGCGTTAGTTCTGGGATCTGCTCGCGGCGCGGATACGTTGGGGTAACAAAATATATTACGGGCAACTGTCCGTAATCAGAACGGGGTTTATCCTGCATAAACTGCCGGTGATCCTCAAAATTTTCGCTGCACACATGGAGACTTTCATTGAGTGGCCGGAAATTCATACTATCTGTGGATGAGAGAGACGAGAGTTATATGGTTACAATGGGTCAATTACGTTTAAAATTCCTCTAACTGTCGACGCGATTTTTTATGATTTAGTCTGAATTCTCAATTACTGAAATAGCTCAACACATTGGACCTCTGGCCCGAGTTGAGGCAGCCAGCCTTAAGTACGTGCCTAAGTGCCGTGATGACAATGCGATGATAAACAATATCAACTACTTAAAATGTGCTAATCGGTGTCTCTTAGGTGTTTGCCAACGAACAATTTACTTTTGGAGACTTAAAATCGTTAAGATAAAGTGCCAGTCACTGTTCAAACAATCTGAAGAGCTAAGTACGTTTGCTTTATGCATATATTTTAGAGATCAGTCGTTAAATCGAAGATAGCCCAGCTAATATGTCTAATGGATTAATCCGTGTTGGAAATCTTTCGCCTGCTATCAAAGCGTTAATGTGTTTGGATCGACTGCGTGCGCCAATGCCTTTAGAAGACCTCACAATTAATCCAAAACGAAAAGCGAAAGGCACGCAATTGGGGGAAACCCCAATTTCCGATATATATGTCTGATAACCGGAAACGAACATGAAAGGCAGAAAAATACTAAAAGCAGAACTGACGTTCCCTCAGGAATCATTAGTAATAAATAATAAAAAAGGGGGCTGGCGAAAGTATTCCCTAACTAGTTATTAAATAAAGATAAGGCAAATTTAACCCTAAACCTATGGAAATCCATAATGTCAATGCCCAAAGACCAAGTGCCGCACCACAAAGACGGTATCGATCACCCACAACAAATAACTAAATGCCTTACGGGCATTACAGATGACGAATATTTACGAATTCGTTCCCCTTGCACCATCGACGACCTAATGAACATTAAGTTTGCCTGATATAAACCTGATAGTGGGGCTCTCCCCAACAGTGTGTTTTGTTTGCACTCAGGTGAGTCCATCCCATCCGACCTATTTCCAGTTCAAAACCCGACCGATAAACCAAGCACTTATCGACGGGGTTCGACAGCAATCTGGGAATAATCACACCCTCATGTACAACTCAATCGTTAATTATGTCTCATATCTTGATAAGTACTGTGGTCTGATTGCAGTCAATTGAGAATTCCCCAGACATCTGAGCTCCGATAGAGGTTAGTCACCAATTGTTTTACGGTTCACCTTTATCAGTTTCATTCACTCCTTATTTATACGCTGAAATTGAACAGTGGGTACAATACATTTTTTACATACTCATATATTATGTGTCTACAAAAAATAATATATATATGTATTTCAAGTTTATTTGGCACATAATATTTAAGTTGTAGCAGTCTTGTTTAAGCAAGCTCCTGTCGAAACTCAGCGCACGCCACTGATAAGATTTATTTATAAGATACCCAAACCTCTTTTTGAAGCACAGCTCTTGTTGAAACACAGAGCACGACACTGATAAGATTTATTTATAAGATAAACATATAACTTGAGATGTTTAAATATTAACCTCATATAATCAGCTAATCTGTTGCAATAGTTATGGCCAAATGTTTACTTTAACGTTGTCTTTCGACTTCTTATCCAACAACATTTTCTTATCTGAAGCACCTGTTGCATATGGAAAGCGATAAAGCAAGATATTGGAACCACAAAACCAAATGTATTGAAAACACATTACTTTCGACATGTGTTTCATGGCACGCTTGTTGAATGACTTTGCATTTATAGGGGGCAATTCACAAAATGTAAATATTTGTGTGACATTTAAGGGCAAATAAGTTACCGAGGAAGCATGCTCCAAAGTGCAGAGTTAAATGTAACCAATTCGGGCAACAATAGCTTGGGGGTTGAGGGAAAAAAGAGACAGCAAACACTCAACACGCGCAATTGAAAAGATACTAAAATTGGCTCGAAACAGATTAGCCGAATAAAAGTGCATGACGAGTAATAAATATATTCATATTCAGGTCTGGCACCAGAGACAACAAAAGCGATTGCCAGACCCATGTACGTGTGGGCACCTTTGCCTTCCTATCCCAATTCAAAACGTTGATAAGAAGTACTGGAAATGTGTGAATTATGTTTGCGAAATGAGTGGCAATCAAGTCTGTGTACCTCATAAGAAAAACTGCTAAAAGCTTTTTTTTTTGAGCACGGGGCAATGCGAAATCTAGAGTCTATTATAAGCGCTGGCAAGTAGTGGGGAAAAGTGCAATTAGACAAATGGTGCCACTCAAATCGCACACATAGCTCGGATTTGTTCTCTTGTTCGACTATAGATCACATGTCTATAGAATAAAATGAAATTATTTTCATGTTTTACACTGTTTTTCCCAAGCCAATTACGTAATCTTTTAAGCCTCACCGTATCGAATGGTCTATATATATATATTTAATCGAATCTATCAAATTCGAAGCTTTAATGGATGACAGCTAATAGGGTGTTTTACATGAATAATGATTGTCTTGTTTTCGTTCTATCATATCATTTTTCAATAACATCAAAGTTTTGAAAATATTTACCAAATGTTTTGTGATGTTCTGTACAATTTAATTAATTTTTTAAATCACTGGCATATAGAATTAGATTAGATTAGATTAGATATGTCTTTGTCATGTTATACAGCTGTGAAGATTTCTTTGAGTCCAATATAGATTATTCATTGGTAGGGCCAATCAAAGGAAGACGCCAAGTTGCCTGCGAAGGCGACCTTGTTCCGGCTATCGTTGTCGGCAATAAAAAATGACCAACGGGCGAAGCAATGTAATTGCCGCTGCAGGCGAGGGTGGGTGGCTATCGATATAGTGGCTACATTCATTTATACGTCGCGTTGTAAAAGACAATTGTTACCAAATAGATCCAATTATAGTTAAATAATAAAAAAGGCAGCAGGCTAACCAGTAGTCAAAGTCGGAACGGCAACGGTGGCGAGCCGACGAGTTACACGCGATAATTACCAAAGCAAATTATTCGGAATCGAGGTGGTGCTGTCACAGCGACTTAGAAAGCCTTGACGAAGCCCTCTTTAGTTTTGGGATGGTTAATAAAAATGAAAGTGGTACAATAAAAGTTATTGGAGAAACGGAGGTCATGCTTAGAGCCCTGCATAAATAATGGGTACTAGTTTTTTTACAATCATTTTTTAAACGCATCAACGAATGAAAACGTTTTCTGTTTTTCTTATAGTCTGCATTATTGTTTCGATAATGCAATGTGTTGTTAACTTTTTGTACAGAAAAAAAAATAACCATATAACAAATTTTTAAGGTATATAAGGTACATATAAACTATTCTCAGTAATAGTATAGGGGATAGAAAATAACTTACGACCCATATTTTTTTTACAAACTGGTCCTACCAATATTATTTTTCCAATAACTTTTCATTTAAAAATATATGTTTAGAAACTGCATCATTAGTAAAAAAAAAAAAAATACTTTTACAGTTCTGGCCCACAAACGGATTGGGGGCACTTAAATTCCTCACAAAGTGTAGGGTGACCTGAGCTTTGATTGGCAGTGGGCCAAATGAAAAGTGAAAGTGGTGGCGAATTCACTTTCGGCCAGCGGTTTCGAAAATGCACTCAGCTGCGCTTCCTATGGGATAAACTCAAGCAGAGTCAGTGAGGGGATGGTGACTCACGGGTTTTTGGGTTAAAATGATGCCTTTTTCGGTCTTTTTTCGGCTTAGTCGTTTGACGTTTGAGCTCGACATCGAATTTATCTACTTCGGTTTCTTGAACTGAAATATTTCCGAACCCCTGGAATTCTGGTCTTGCTTGGCGTGTATACCGCAACAGGCATTCTGGGGAACGGGACAGCTGCTTACCTAGTCCCTGGTGAGATGCCTCCTCCGAATCTTCGGAAGCACCGCCCAATCCCAGGGCGATTCGAGTGTCCCCGCTGAGGGTGAGGTAGCAGAAGGCGATGAAGAACAGGGTGCCACCCACCAGGGGCAGTACACACCGGCGTCTGCCCCCGCCCACGCTGCCCTTCCTGACCATGGGATGTGGTGGGGCGGCGGCGGTGGCGGCGGTGCAGCGGGTATGCTTCTGATGCGGCCTCCGCTCGATGTCCTCGTTATCCTCGTCCGAAGTCTGCGGCTCGAGTGCCTGGTAGTGGGCACTAGACATTTTGAGAAATATTTTGGGATCTGGTCTGGGTCATGGATGGGCTCTCAGCTGGGGTGGTGGATTTGGAGGTAACGGAGAGGCATAACCCGGCCATTTGTGGTGAACCGGGCCTACCTCCTGCTTTTCGCAAGCGTATTATACAACTTTTGGCTGGGTCGACCCGAAAATTATGCAAATTCCCTCGACATTCCTGCACTTTGGGTGCTCTGTTTTATTTTCGTTTCGCTTGCGTCGCTTGTTGCTATAAAAAAAACACCTCATAAACGAACTCTTGGACACAAAAGTGTCGCGAATTGCGAATCGGAAGCACTCGAAGCACGCTGATACACCCAAAAATTACACAAAATATTTGCTTATTTTCTGCCCGACATCCGCACGCGTCTCCCGTCTCTTTCTCACTCGCTGGGCTTATTGCTTTTTGTGCCTTTACGGTTTCGCCAGTTGTTGTTTCGGTACAAGCGAGCCCGGAGCGGGCGTCCAAACGGCGAAACGGTGAAAATGAATTTGACGAGACGAGGAAAACAAAAACCGTTTGACAGTACTACTACTACTTATAAAACAATCTGACGATTCGCGCGAGCAGGCCGAAAGAGGCGATGAGAAAGAGAGCGCTCAACCACCACCACAGCTGACGCACGGTTGCATTTGGTTTGAGTCTCGACTAAGCGCGGTACCGCTGTTACAAACCTTAATTTGGAAAAAAATTTTTTTAAATTAAATTTAACACCTAAAAACGCTTGATTTTTCATTAAATAGTTTTTAATTTGTTTTCTTTTTTTTTGTATTCTTTTAGTTCATGACAAGAATTACTTAGGCAATATATGCATACATTTTTTTGGCTTCGGAGTTTGGAGAGTACATTTTTTAAGAATGTTACTGAATGAATCAGGGCTACCTAATATGTTCTGCGGACCCGCAGCATAAATATCAATATACCATCGTCGCACACTGCCACAGTACAGCAACAGGCATTGCAAAAACACAACTTTTATGTGCGCCTGCAACAATTTGAACGAATGAATCTTATAGAATATTATTTCGCTAAAAATATAAATCCTTTAAAATATACGTTACAATTGATTACGTTTTCAAATAGATTACGTTGAAAACTATGTCGCATACCCTTGTTTCTTTTTATATTTGTAGAACTTGTATAGTTTCTTTAACAAAATTTAAAAAATAACTATTTTTTTATAAAAAAGCAGTGGTAAACAGTATATATATTGATCAGAAATGTTGTCAAAATGTTGTAGTATTGCCTGTTTATATCTTATTTAAAAACATATATTTGTTTATATATATTTTTAAAAGTAAAACAAAAAATACCAGAATTTTTAATCAACTTAAAAAAATAAACTTGAATTTGCGGACTGGAAAATAGCTTGACTCCGGAACTAGCACTTTGAGCACCCTCTTCATTTGTCGGTCGTTCGGTAAATATTTCCGCCATATCTTATCTCATCGACCGTTATCCGAGTTTAATCGTTATTACTTAACCATAACAGGCTTTGTCCGTGTGATTATGATACTGATATTTGATTTGGCTTCCATTTCACAATTTCGTTTGCATATTTTAGAGACCCTCTCCCCCTTAGAAGGCTGGAGCCAACCTTGATTTATTACAAACGGCGTACATATATGTGTATTACATTTATTTGTTACTATTGAACAACTGGCTACAAATTGCGTTTGTTTAATGTTTTCAATACAAAAGTGAACAATCTTTGTGTGATTTATTGTTTTTGTTAATTAAGCAAATTTACGATTAAAAGCCACTTAGTTTCTCACTTTTGTTGCGGTTCCAGCTGCTGCCACTGCAATCCTCCACTTGGCAAGGATCAGGAGCAGGAGGAACGCAGCAAGCCCTGCACTTATGGAATAATTAACTAAATTGTATGAAGAGAACTCATAGGTGGATCGAAGGGACGGCCAGACGTCTTCCTTAGATGTTGGCCTTGATGACATCCTCCACACGTGTGGCGTTGGCTCCGGCGAACTCCTCGACCTTGACGCCGTTCTTGATGAACACAAAGGTGGGCATGCTAGATACGTTGTATTCCATAGCAATGTCTTCGCATTCGTCAACATCAACCTGTTGGAGAAGAGAGTTTGATAAGTATTCGGATTTTATGATTAAACAAGTTAAATAAAATTGCAAAAATTTCATTGACTACTCAATAAATTAGCGGCCTATTTACATTATAATAAACTTTTTAATGATAAAAACTGGATAAGTTGAATAATAAAATTATTCAAGCTTAGTAGCTATATCTTTGCCATTATAGAAGATAATAAAAAACCAATTGGCTAAGTATTTGTAAAGCAATGCAGGGCAGTCCATATAGAGCTTAAAAACATTTTAAGCGTTTGTTTAAAGCCTTATCTTTCTGAAACCTACCTTCAGGACGACGATGTTGTCGGCATACTGCGTGGACAGCTCAGCCAATTTAGGCGAGATCATCTTGCAGGGTCCGCACCAGGTGGCGAAGAAGTCCAGCACCACCAGCTTGCCGGCTGCCTTGGTCAGCTGTCCATCGAGGTCGTTCTGCAAAATGGAATTGAAATTGTTAGTTTGAGTTATCTTTTTACGGATCAGTTAACATGAATGCTATTGATTTTTCACACCCGGGCGTCCTATTTCCAATCACTTTACCCACCAAAGTTGCTAACATTATTTCGAACTATATTATTTGGGGCTATCAAGCATTGATCCGGTGGGTATGTAGATGTAGCAGACCCACTCATTATCTCTAACATGTGCCCGATAAGGTGGACTCCATTCTGCCCCAAAGTTGTCAGACAAAACCCAAAGTTGCCAAGTTGTAATCGGCCATAGTAATCAACGATTGACGGGTTCAATATTTGTACCCAATAACACAGAGAACTTGTGAATTTGGGGCTATTGCATTTCAGTTTCTGTATTTGAACAAGTTGGCAACAAATCAATATTTCAAAAATTCCGAAATTATATGTATTCCGAAAGGTGTGGTTGTGGGCAGTTCCTTCCCCCTTCATCCAGACCATTGCCCTGCCCATGTCACGTTTTCCCAGTGACCTTTAATTAATTGCTAACGATGGCAATCGCAGAACACATGCAAAGAAATGACTCTAATGAAATTGTGGATTTCCAATGGACGGGGGGCAACCGGTTTAGTGGTATTTGCATAAGGCAATAGGTAATTTTTATCTTAAAACAAGTTTTTGCCTAAAACAACTTGTTATTCCATAATAATATTTTGATCAAGCTTAGAACATTTCCAGTGGAGAAATCTAACTTGAGATGATTAACTGATCTATAGTATTTGATGACTGTTGAAGACTATTTGATTTAAAGATGAGTCAAATGTATAATGGTAATTTTAGGAAACCGTTGACTCATTTTTTAATAGAAGATCTGAGTAATAAAAAAACCTAATGTTTACTAAATCCTTAATCAATTGTATGTAATAATATGTACATTTGAGTCGGACTTGTTGACGAAGAATGTTCTGGTGGTTTTAAGTTGCTTTAATTTATTTGGTCGCCAAACATATTTTTTTGTGGCTTGCTGTATAAAATTAGACCGCAAGGGGGCACTGCTTAAGAGTGTTCTATATATAAATAAGCGAATATTGAGAAATAAAATAATCAGAAATGCTTTCAACTATTTACTTTTTTATATTCCCTGACGTAATGTTTGTATTTATGAAAGACGCTCACGACCGGTTTGTCGTACCCTGAGAAACTCTACCCCTTTTTGAATTCCTCTCTTTTTTTGTCGGCTTTTGTATGGCGCGCAACTTTTCAGCGGTGAGCATTCCGTGTGCTGTAGCAACTATTCCAATATTTCTAACCAACAAACCCAGAGTCGACCGCGATAATGAACTGCAAACTCATTCCAGACGCACACACACACATACAGATAGCTCTATATGCTTGCTTATATTATGCTTGACACTATTTCAGATTAGTCAATGGAACTCTGGGCATGCGGTTGGGAAAATTCAAATTTCGGCTTCCGCTGAGACTTGCTCTTTGGTCAGTTCCAGGGTCGGGATGAGGATGATATCATTTCACTATTCGAACTTTCTCGTAACGGTGTCTGCTTTCTAGCTCGTTTCGACCGTTCGTGAGTTTTGTTCGTTTGTGTTGGAGCGTATGGCAAAAAGCGTAGAAAATCCAATCACTCAGAGTAAAGTGAGTGGGTAATTGGAATGCCATTGGAAAATGCCATGTTTTGGTGACCCGCGGGGTCAAGGGGGGGGTTTTCGGGTTACCCAACAGATGACAATGACGCTACGGTGATGGACCGATATCCGGCAGAAATGACTCACCTTGTCTTTCACCTGGTACACCATGTTGGCTGTGGATTTGATTTGGAACCGGTAGAAATGTACAAAAGTTACTTAATTAGCACTCGGGCAGCTCTTCACACCACGCAGCTAGATTTTTTTTCAAAGATGAGCGTGTTGTGGTTGCTTTTATAGACTTTCGCTCGCTCTCTTGCTATCGCTCTCTCTCTGAACCGCCGGCGTCGCTTGGTGGAGGTGGGTTTCCCTTCGAGGTGGGTAGGTAGGACCGCAACTCTGCACTGGTTCAGAAAAAAAACGGAAGGTGGCGTTTTCAAAAAACGTTAGATTCGAATATGTTAGAGGGCAAGATTAAGGTATAAAAGTTTGTATTGACTCGAAGTCAATTGCAATTATTGATGAACAGCATAGTTATTTTTTTTTGTTATTGTTTAGCTTCACCATTCATATTATCGTTATTCCTTCGTATAGATAAATGTAAGACCCCGAATAAAATGTAAAAAAGTTGGTAAGCTTCGAAAATGGCATCTTGAAATATATACGTACTAACAACTAAATAACTATTACTGTTTATGACTTGTAAAATTAGCCCTTGATAACTGACACTGGTAAATCGATTATACCAAAACTCGACATAAATAATAAAATAGGCATCAAACCAGCCAGTAAAATTATTTTTCACTTATTGAAAAATGAAAACAAAAAGAAAATGTAAGGGAGTCCAACAAGAAAACCAAACATTCATTACTTGTGTTTTGAAATAACCGTCGTTTTTGTGGTCGTCACCCACTGTGCGTCATGTGGAGGTGAATTCCCTATCATGGTGGGTTTATTAAAGAGCATGTCTACAGTGGTTCAACGCGAGATCGGTAGGCGCTTTTATAAAATTAAAAACATTTAGCTACGGAAATAATAATAAAATTTGAGACGGGATTAAAAGATGTTAAATATTTCGTTCCGCCTACCGATTTCAAAAAAAGTTGCTTACTTATATCCAGTTGGTTGCTATAATCTTATTTTCAATTTTTCATACATACAATCCTAATGGATTCCTTGATCCTCAAATCAGAAAGAATCCACTTTTACAAATCAACATATTTTCATAATTTATTTGCCGGGAAAAACAATGAGAAAACTTTGTAACACTACGCGTACAGATGGAAATTAAGATTTCACAACTAACCCTAACACTATGATACTATGCTATGCTATCGACTATGACTAATGCTCCGGCGTCCGGAATCGTTAAGTACTATTTCAATGGGTGGCCGATGGTGCAAGCGCCGCTGTTGCCGCCGAGTGATGCAAGTGGTGGTGGTGATGGTGGTGGTACGTCAGCGTGGGCGGAGGCGGTGGGTGACCTGGGGGCGGAGCCGCTGTCGGGATAGTGGATGCTCCGGCTGGGGAAAATCCACTCGCTGCCGCCATCTGTTGCTCGTAGCTGGTATAGTGATCGTAGTAGCTTCCGTATCCGGTTTCCAAGCTGTTTCCGGTCGCCGTATTCCCCGGTGTCGTGGTGGTCCCGTGTCCCGTGTCAAAGTAGCTAACTCCATTGTAACCACTCCCGCTCTCGTAGTAGTGGTGACCCGCCGGCTGATTTCCCCCGAATTGCTGGTGGGTCGGCTGGTGGTGGTGATGCTGCTGATGCATCTCGTACTCCGCCTTGGGACTGTAGTAGTAGTCGTAGTTGTCCTCCACATACGGCTGTGTTTCCACGGTGGCATTGTACTTTATGGTGGGCGCCAGCCCCGCCCCCGGCTCCCCTTTGCAGCCGATCTCCTCCTGCCCGCCACCACCCAAATGCTTGATCTGCGAGTAGTTGATGAACTCCGGTTCGGGAGTGGCCAACTGCGGACTGGACTCGTAGGCGAGTGCCTGACATTGGGTGTGCCCATGTCCAGGACCCGCGCCCATCGAGTAGGCGTTCCCACTCGAGGACTGCTGGTAAGCGGCCAGTTCCGAAATACTGCAGGTATACGGCAAACTGGGCGATTTGCTGGGTGCCGCCGTCGCCGCCGTCGGAGTGGCATGGTAGATGGGATAGTTATACGTGATGTGCTGGTGGTTGACCGTGAACACATTCGCAGCGGTCTCGCAGGGCGCCGAGGACTCGGATCCACTCAGTGGCCAGGAGTTGGTTCCGTAATTCGAAGACTGCGACAGTTGGTGGCTCCTCGCCGTTGTGTTGTCCTCCAGGTAGCTGCAGGTGCAGTGGTTGTAGGTCGTGCACTTGCCACAAGCTAAGGAGCAAAGAATAGGTATTTCATATAAAATTGATATTTTCGGTTACAAATCTCCTCAATTCTCATAAATTAATACATTTTTAAAAAATAACTTTTCTTCTTCGATTAGAAATAATATGGTGTTTAGTTTCGCTAACCTTAAAAGACTCTTCTGTAATAATAAGCTAGGCAAACGTATAGATAGATCAAATCTTTAACGCAATATGGAATTTAAGGATATCAATTATAAAACAGACATTTTTTAGGTACCCCTAGCTAAAAAGAGCATTTATATTCTATATTGTATTTAAAAGATAAAATGATTACTAGATTTTTATTTATTAATATTTATTATTATTATTTAAAATAGCAGAAGTGGTCTTCGCCGTGTATTTGTTCAAGAACCGTACTTAATATTAAATACGTACTGAAAACCCTTTTAATTATAAAGATTTTAAAAAACTTACAAATTTAAAAAAAAATTGATTTGTTGATTTAAAATATATCCAAACTATTTCTGACGAGATCAAATCTTTAATGCTATAGTAAAAAACTGAATAAGTATCTTCAGGATACCAATTACATGAAAAAATTCCTGAATACTCTCCCTTGTTTTTATCTGCTTACCGTTAAACTGGTAAAGATCCAAAGCGGAGTGGGTCAAAGGATTGCTGGCAGCAGGACGTTTAAGGACCTTGTTAATCAGACTGTGCTGTTGCTGCTGTAAGAGAAGTACATTTCTTGAATTGGCTTCCAAAGAGTATAAATTCCTTAACTCACCTTCACCTGCTTCACCAGACCCGCAATTACGGACTTCTTGCCGGCTGATCCATTGGCGGACTTTCCGCCCAGCGGCACCCGTCCAAATGCCCGCTTGGAAACGCTGGAGTTCTTGGGATCCGGACGCAGGTGGTCGTGCACTCCCTTGGCCTGAAAGAAGATGGCGTTGCCGGAATGGCGCCAGAAGTGGGTCACCGGATAGCCGCAGTGACCCCGGCACGGTTTGATCTCCAGCCGCCCGCCACGACAGCTCTTGTTGGGACAGGCCTTGCCCTCCTGCTTCCGGCGGGCCTTGTCGCAAATGGCCGGCCGCAGGTTGATCTTGGAGCCGTTGGGCAGGGTGCAGTGCTGGGAGCAGACCAGGACGCCCAGGCAGCTCTTCTTCAGGATGTTCACGTTGTGATTGTTCGTGTTGCGCATGGCCCAGCCGGAGATGTGCTTCTTGGCCTCCTCATTGTGCAGCGAGTAGATGTGCCGGACATGGCCATCGCTCCACTCGTTGAACTCGTCGAACTCCTGGTCCGGAACGTGGGGCACGATGGCATCGTTGATGTCCCACTCCCGTTTTCCCTTGCCCCCCGAGGCTGCCGGCATGGTCATGGATCCACCCGCCTGCTGTTGGCCAGCACTTGGATTATGGGGCTGGGCAAACTGGGCGTGCTGGGAATGATCGGGCTGCTGGTTAAGTAGTTGCTGCGACTTGAAGGTGTAGCCATTTCTGGAGGAGATTTAGATTACATTTAAAATAAGTTATTAGTTTCATTATTTGCTTAAATTTCAATGGTGTTGATTCATTCATAAAACAGCGAACACTTTTTAGTCTCGTGCAGCACAAGTTCCGAACAAATTCGTTATACAGAGTCGGTTCAAATTCATTTAAAATTTGAAAGTTAGCGTTTGCTATACAGATTCCTTTATATCTACGCTATGCTAACTGCACTAAAACTTTAAAAGCTCAAACAACCGCCCATTTAATAAAAAATTTATAATACTTTGCTTGGTGATTAGATTTAGGTCATTATGCGCTTATTTTAAATTGTTATTTTAAATGATCAAAACATAAACTTCTAATGAATGGTAAACTAAAGGAAAGCATGTGGTAGCCCTTTAAATTTTAGAACATTTAAATATATTTAGTTTGATTCAAAACTAGTTTAATTTAAACTTTAAACATATATTCAAGAAATTATCTTAAATAAACAATTATGAACTGTTTATATGAGTTCTTTAAAGCCTGCTGCAATATAAGTAACTTTTTTCCAATGCTTTAATATTAACTTTTATCTTTACTTTTTATAAACATTTACTTTTCGTTGCTCTTTAAATTTGAATACCTCTGTTTCTATACCCTTGCAGAAGGTGTGTATTACTATTTCAATTTGGAATTTAATGTGGGGCATTGCTGAGTCACAATTTGATCCTCCATTGAAGCACTTTATATTACCACGCTATAGCCGCAAGTAAACGCTTTAAGTGATCCATTTAAGTGTGACTTAATCGCTCAAGCTTAAGCATCGTTTAAGGAAATGGAAATCCTATCTTAAGTGCGCCCTAAACTGTTTCGTAGGGGGTCGAAATACATGCCAATCAAATGAAACGTTTGTGAGTTTACGAGCGCCATGAAACGCATTGCTCTTTAGGCCCAGTTTAAAGGGCCGGTACCGTTAACCCCAAATCCGCTTCGAGTGGTAATCCAAGCTGGCCCAAACCGTAATTCGAGCGCCAGTTGCGGCGGTGGGAGAAGCAAATTAAACCGAGTCTACGGTCGTGAGTCAGCGCAGAATTGCTAGACTCGATGGAGGGCCTCGGTCGAGATTCTCCATGTGTGGGAGTTATTAGAGACTCGCTCAGCAATTAGCAATAAATTTGTTTGGATCGCGTTCTGTCCAGTCTGTCTGCTGATGCCCCGAGCGTTTTTATGTGTACTTGGAAGTCAGCAGGTTGCACGCTGTCTAATATTGAATACCTGAACCCTAAGATCGTTTGGTGGTCCCCGCTTGGGTTCCCCCCGATAGACCGATTGAACCTGTTCGTGGTCAGTGGTGCGCTTTGTTTTGGGTCCGTAAATTGACTGCTCGACACTTCGGGGCGCTCGTTAGTCGCGCTTATCTGATGCTGATAGCGTCTCACTTCGTTCCCGATCTGTGTTTTTTTTTTTTTTTGGGTCTCCTCCTCATCCTGGGCTCATAATAAGTTTGTCACCTAGAAAATATGTCTCTATAAATCGGAGGAGGGCCTGGGGCTGGGGTCGGGGTATCGACTCTTTGACCCTTTCACTCGAGCGCCGCTTCGCCCACGACTGTGTGTGGTCCGCCGGTCCGCCGGTCCGCCGATCCCAGGCACACCCCGCGGCTCTTTGGAGCGGTCTGAAGCGGACTGGAGCGGTCTAGAGCGGAGTGCCATTAACTAAGCTGTGGCCCATGCTCAGCGTGATAATAAAGCGTTTGAATCATTTACATTTTCCCTGCCCTCCCCCGCCGCCTCTTTAGCGTTTGATTTGTGGCCCATTCCTCATCTCAGATTGATCGGAGGTGTTTGTAAGCTCAACACTTACGCAGATGCTTGGGATTAGCGCGTGTCAACAATGACTCAATGGGTTCTTATTGGGAATGATGAAGGAGTTTTTCGATTCACCAAAAGAATTAACAAATAATGATGTTAAATTAAACCAGGAATACGAATATGGAAATATTTTAAACATTTTTAATGTCTTGAATTTAAAAGCATTGCATTTAATGAATTTTAATTTATTTAAGTTATCAGCTGCAATTTTTTGCAATTTGGTACTTTGTTTTTTATTTCAATGCTTTAAAAAATCAAAACAAAAGCGCAGAAATGTATTTTATGTGATTTTTTTACTTGGTTATTCAGTAAACTCCGATAAAAGGAATATTATCTATGTTAATGGCATTTTGTAAATTAATCTAAGCTCTTGAATGTTTTTTGTAAAGCACAACGTATTTTATGAAAAATATTTATACTTATTAACCTTATCTGTAAGTGTGTTCTTAATAGCAAACAAATTTAAATAATTTAATACAAACATATTTTATTTGTAATTATAATAATTATAGAAAATGTTTTTTATTTATTGATTGACTTATAAACAACTTTTGCTTTAAATCATGGATTTAAAGAAATGAATTTATTAAGAATAATGTTTCATAATTGACTCGGTTGTACGAAAAAAGTTTTTAAGATTTTATGTATTTCATATATTTAACAATAAATAAAGGCACTCTTTTAAAAACAAAAAAGTTTTTATCCGTCAAAGGAGATAGCTAAGAACTTACATAACAACCATATTCCAAATGAATCAGCTTCTTTAATCCAGATATTTAGCGATATAAGTGTTGTATCCAATAAACAATTAACTGGGCTCTTAAATAAGTTTTGTACGCCTTGAAAGCCCTTCGCACAGGCAACACTCGGGCATTGTAATCCAATTAGGCGACACTTGTATCGACTGTGGCACTTGTGTCTTGTATCTCGCGGATAGCCGTCGCTAGTCTTAGTTTCTCGGATTGCGAACGCGACGCCGACGACGGGAGACAGCCGTGAGAATGACGACCTTTTCGATGGGCCCCAAGCAACCTGTGAGCGAGCGATTTGTGTGCAGCAGGGCGGGATGTGCGCGCGTATCTGGCAGATACGAAAAACAAAAGAGCAGCGGCGGCAACAGCAGCAGCAGCAGACAAAAACAAACTTCGGCGAGCGAGTGGTGCCAAGTTTTGTCAACAAAGGAATGATATTATGGCTCTGGCTCCACCTACAAAAACCAACAAAATGCCAAAGAGGCGGGGGAGCGGGGAACGGGGCGGCAGCGACGAGCCACCCGCATAATTTGCCAAAAACTCCACGCAGGCACGAAGAGGAGCCGTCGCAGCTGCCGGAGTGGTAAAACGTATCCGTCAGATACATTGCCTTCCCGGCAGCGTTCACTTCCAGTCGCTTCTCGCCTGCGATTGGTCGGATAAACTCGCTCTCACTCGCATTCATTCCACCGCTTCGTTGGTTTCTCTCTTTTGAGAGTTTCTGAAGTTCCGGAGAGGGAAATGGAGATGGAGGAATCTGAAACAGGGGGGGGTGGAGGCTACATATGTACTCGATAAGCATCACAGAAATTTAATTACTTATTATGCCGCTTATCGCTCCCCATTGTTCTGTTTAAGGATATGCCAACAAAAAGCAATGGCAACCACAGAGAGAGCATAGATATTCCAGAGTTTATCGTTGGCAATGCTCGGCAGATTAGTGGCATGATTAATGGACTGGGTTAATTCTATGTGTTATATACGTTAAACAATTCAAATTTCACTTTATTCCCACCCCTTCTGTACTATAATAATATACATTATTAATAGTTATACAAATGTTTAAATAAATATAAAAATATATTTGCCAAGATATTGATGAACTTAGAGTGACTCTTTACAATTACAATATTGGTAAATAATTAAACATAAACAATATATAAATTTTGCCTATCAAGGCACTTTTTTAACACTTTTCAAGGAGGACAAAACTTTTGCAGAACTGTATTTATATTGTTATTAATATATTTTATTTACATCGCTATCAAAATAAATATGATTTGAACATTTTCATTGAATTTCTTTTGACAATGAATTCACTTAATACGTTTATCTGTTTTTACTTTAATTACAAAAGGTAATATTAAATATAAATATAATTATTTATTGCATAGAAAATTGGTTAACATTTGTATTATTTTCTCCACCTTTTGAATGGAGCATGAGAACTATTTTTGATCTGCTACTTCTTAAGCTACTTTTGAAAAATTTTTTAATTTATTGAAATATGATATAATTCCTTTCTTCTTATTTTTTCAAATATATAATTATTTGTCTATGTTATAAAAGAACAATGAACTCTATATCTAATCATTTATTACATAGAAAATTGGTTAGTATTTGTATTATTTTCTCCTCTTTTCTTCTTGCTCTGCTCTCCACCCGAAGCTACTTTCCTTTGGTCGTTGACTTAGAAGTAAGTTAAGTTTATTAGGGGCCACAACATGAGAATACACAAGTGGCCACAATATCAGGGCCAGATCAGCCAGGGGGTGAATTTCGGGGGGTCGGGGGTACTTTGGGCCTAATGCTTGCTGCGTCTTTTGTTTTCACCTGATCAGCCCGCATCGCCATTTGGGCCAAAGTTACAGGCCACAAAAAATAAAATACAATTTATGCGTCCACTTGGTAGCACACACAAACACACACTCGCACACACACAATTAACAGACCAAGAAGAGCAATTTAACAGGGGGAAAATAAAAAGAAATGGAGGAGCAAATAGGCGTTAAAGTGAAAATTGTGAGTGCCGTTGACAGGAAATGTAAATGGTAACAAAAATGGAAACAGCGACCAGTGGCAACTGTTGCTGCCGCTGCCATTGCCACTGCCGCTGCTCATCCACTGTGACTCTGTTTGTAATTAAAAAGGGCAGGAGGGGATTGGACCCCAGATATACGGGATTGGGCCTGAAGACGCGTAACTACGCGTACTACGGTGCACTACGAAAAACGACCTGGAAATGGCCGCTGCTGCTGGCCATTTGCCTCTCCGCTGCTGCTGTTGTCGCCTTAACGCTCCACAGCAAATGATACGGGTGACAAATACACGTACCACATACTACACACCAGAAAGTGGTAGAAACATTCACAATTTTACAACTAGCTAAACAGTTTAACCGACTATCTATCTCGATCTGGCTTGGTTCGCTGTGCCGTCTAGCAGCTGCTTAGCGTTTTCGCAATTAATTGCCCAACATTATTTTATAAGCATGCGTAGTTTAATGTAGGTACACACACCCGGTGTGGTCGTGGTCCCAGTCCAAGTCCCACCTCGAAGTCATAGATCCAGAGTCACGCTGGGATCGGGCGGCCCTCTAATGAGCGCGTGCTCCGAGAGCGCCAAGCTCCAGCTGTTCCACAAGAAGGGTCTGTCATTGGGGCTCATTGTGTTCCAAAATATTCCATAATTTGGTTTTTGGCGCATCAAATTAATCATCGATCTGTTAAAATAAATAAAAACTGGTGTACAGTGTAATGGATTTCCGAGTTTTCGACCTAAAAATATTAATAATTAATTTGGTGAGGTGCACTTGGAGAAGTGCTTAAAAGTTTAAGCTTGAAGAATACAATGTTTGTTATTTTAATATAATCTTTTTGGCCTTTTTTCTGTATTTTTTGGCTTTATCCCTGTACCATAGGTTTCAACTTATTTTCAAACGCACTTAAAGCTTCAATCATGTTTTTGAAGGCAACAAAGTTTCAATTTATGAATTATTTTTTAACAAATTATTTGAAAATCATTGAATTTTAAATAGTTTAAGCCGCTGCAACTCCAAAAAGCTCAAGGGACAAATGCAATCATAGCTTACTCCAATTAAGAATGACTGTAAATATTGATGACCCCTATGGCGTCTGTACAGATATACTCGATTGTTGACACATTCCCACAAAATGTTTCTTCGACTGTAGCCGAATCTCGGACCACAGTGAAGTGTGACTTTTGTGGCACCCAGCAAAGACAAAGACCGAAGGCAATTTTTCCATTTACGCAATTAATTGGCCGTCACACTGGGAGGTCCGCTAATAGACCAAGTCAGAGATACAGACCCTAGAGCAAAGCTCATCACACACAGATATGGTACGACGGATTAACGTTTTGCCTATTGCCTATTGACTGATTGATATCCACTCACATCACCCACAAAAATACCGAAACAACACTAACGCGAACAAGAGGAATTGATTTTTGAGAGATTTTGACAAATGTCTGGGGAGCCCTCGACGTGTTAGGCCAATGCTAATGGCCCTCTTGGAGCCGTGCTCTTATAAATGAGCTCGATTAGAACCCAATTACAAGGGTGGAATGCTTCGATCGCTCCAAGCCCCATGACAAGCCATCAGCCCGGCCGAATTACTTTTGATCGTAAAATTATGACCCATAAATTTAATTTTATGACTTCTTTCGCCTAACAGAACAATCAAAAGTCACACAAAAAAAATGCCAAAAAGGAAGATATCAAAAGTAGCGAGTCCCGAATGTGGTCCAATGTATGAGGGGTCCAATGTAAGGTGCCAATATTACGCAGAGTGCGGACTGTAATTTTCGCACCGGAGGTGCTTAAAGACCCTGCCATTTCCTCATCACTGAAATTACCCGAAATCGCATCGCTGCCGGAGTCGCGCTGTCCTACACTTTAATCAGCTAAATGGACTGTTGAAAATTCGGCACATTCGCGGCATAATCAACGCGGCGTAGTTGGCTCCTGCCAGCGATCGTAGTCCTCCTCCTCCAGCCCACCCCCTCCCCTCCTCCCAAGTTATTGTTTGCATAATGAGCCTGGGGCGGTATCCCATTCCGGCCCTAATGTGCTCTGCTCATGAGCAGCTTGATTGGGGGCCGGCCACTGCGGCAGTGGCATGTCAAGGAACTCGACCCTCATAATGGGATCGAATCGAAGCAATTGATGGATACTTGCATTTGCAGTTAGATACCTGCGGCCCTTAGCGGTTTCCTTGCAGCTTTATTCACAGGTGGAAAGGGCTGCATCTAAACACAGCAATTATGCAAAGTTTTATTGTGAAGTGTTCAAATTTCAAGCCGAATCAATTTGCTTTGGTTTCAATCACCAATTACAAAGATAAGTCCAACTAAAGGGTACATGTTAGTTTGGGCATTTACACTCAGGTATACAAAAAGTCTTACTATCTGTGTTAAAATTGAAAAATCGTAATGATTAAAAGTCTAGTGGTATTCTTAGAAGATCAAATTTTATCGAAATAAAGTGCTTTTTAGTCTGCTCAACAAAATAATTTATGGGGGGAATTTTGCAGAATTTTTTTTGAGAAAACTTTTAAATTTATCAAAAACTATTATTTTACCTGTATTTTAAGGCTTAGTATTAGTAAAAATATTTTTTTTGGAAAGGAGCTACAGCTAATCCCAGGAATCTCGAAAAGGGGTTTTGCGTTGACCTCTGTATCTCGGAACTGGATCCTCAGAAATTAAAAAAACAAGATTTCGTTAAAGTTATTAATCGAAAAAATAAGCAAATTACATTTTTTGACAAAATGACGTTTCAAAACATACCTATAACTGATTTTTTAATAAAATTGTTGGCTTAAATATTTAAAATAATTTTAGGAATCGCGTGTAAAAAATTGAGAATAATCATTTTAGCTGTTTTCAAGTAATATTGAGACAAACCACAATTTTGAGAAAATCGCGTTTAAAGTTCGTACTTATACATTCAAGCACTTTGAAACTCCTTTTAAAATTTGCGTGTCACTTCGAGAATATTCGAGAATGAATGTTTTGTGTGTGTATTCTTAAAAAACATGAACATTAAATATAATAAATAAATAACAATGGTTTAGAATACCCTGTATACTACACCTCAGAAATTAAAAAAACAAGATTTCGTTAAAGTTATTAATCGAAAAAATAAGCAAATTACATTTTTTGACAAAATGACGTTTCAAAACATACCTATAACTGATTTTTTAATAAAATTGTTGGCTTAAATATTTAAAATAATTTTAGGAATCGCGTGTAAAAAATTGAGAATAATCATTTTAGCTGTTTTCAA